CCCCCCCCCCCCCACACACACAATGAAAAAGACCATCAGCTTGTGGCTATGGGAAGCAAAGCATGATGCAATCATTGCTGAGACTTGAGATTTTCTCAGCTGTTTGTGTGTGTGTTTGAGGACACACATCCTTTTTTCTACATATTGTATCCCCGGGGGCGTCTTCAAACCTTTTGTTTGCGCACCAACTCTGAAATAATGGAGGTAGAATTAGAATGTAGATCTTTGTTTTCTCATGGATTTGCTTCTCCCCACAGGAATACAGCCGTGGTTACATCATTATAAATTCTCTCAACGGACAAAGGTCACCATCGGATACTGGGGAAAGAAAATGCTGATGAGGGAGCAGAAAGAGAAAAAAAGATCAAATTAAAAACGGCGCCACACATGTATTAACATGGAATTTATCTTTAGTTAAAAACATCTTTGTACAGGGTCTCTAGGGGTTTACAAACGGCTGAGCACGCATACAGTACTGATGTATTTTGTTTACAGACACTCATCCAGAAACAAATACACCACAACTAATAAATACAGACAAACATTTTATACAGCATTTACAGAGTACAGGGGAGCTACATGTCATTTATTAAACAACAAATCTCATCAGTGGACCAGTTGCAGGAAATTATTTCTCAGGTTTTAAAATATACTGAAGGTACCACTTAGTGACACTGACAACACTGCATGTTTGCATGCAATTCCATCGAAAGGATTTTGTCTTGTCTCTACAGCAGGGAATTAGGACTGGGTATGGAACACTTCGTTAGTAAATTGTTTCAGAACAGAGAACTGAATAGCACTGAGTCGCCATAACCAGATTTACAGCATTGCTTAATAATTCTTTGATCAGATTGACATTTTGTTGACATTGACATTTTTTTCCTGTTTTATTGGTGTTCTAACTATACCCAGCCCCACAGATAATAAATTGGTATAGCCACTGTATCTACATGCTATTATGATGTACACCGACATATCACAAACAAGTGCTGAAATTGATCTGTCAGCTGGGAGTCAAAGGGAACTTTTTTAACTGGTGCAAGTTGCATCAAACTTTACTGCAATGCAGTAAATGAACTGTGTCGTAAGTCCTAGAGCATGTTTGATCTTCTGTGTTTTTGGTTTATTGTATCAAACTGTCATATTAACTGTGAGCCCTCTGTATTGCTAGAGTAAATCAATGAGACCATGGCTAATGATTGGCAGCGTGTCAAAACAGGCCTGTGCCTAATCTGTGCTCCAGTTTCATACTAGTATATATACTAATGCTAGCTTCATTTAAGTCTGTAGTTCTAAAAGGCATGTATACATTTTGTCCTGTAAAGCAGTCCTGCAGTTATTGTACCACATCTGACCTTCTGGCTCACACTGTGAAATTAAGTGGCCAGTAATGACTGCCAATCTTCAGTGATGATCTCATTGATATCCAAATAAGCCACAGTATGTGTAGTAACTTGAAAAATAACTGCCAAGTCCATTGTAAGATACTGCAGGGAGAGATTTAAACTGGTTGCTGGTTGTTACGGAGAATTTGTCATGAAGCTGGTAAGGCTGCACTTCACTGGGAGGCTTGGTTCATGCAGGCTGGCTGGCCGTCAGGGTTCAGTGCCTCTCAATGATTGGCTGTTTATGGTGATGCTTCCTCAGCCTGGGTCCTGAATGAGGAAAGAAAAAACATTTGTTGGTAAAAGTTTATCTTCTAAAAAACAATGCACTCCAGAGAGGAAACTTTGAAGACAATTTGTGGATCTTGCAAGTTACAATTTGTTTTTGTGACTATAAATAAATAAGGACGTTTAAATCCTTAGAAACAAAGCTAACAGGATAGTAAGGATAATATCAATAAAACATAGTCCTGAGAAGATTATGCATAAGGGAACTGAAAAAAACATCCAGATTTGAATGAGCATGGTATGTACTTTTGTGTTTTGTTTTTATTAAACTGTATTTTCTTCAGGTATCAGTTCATGTATTATGTTTTATAAAATATGCATACAGCATTTTTAGGTTGTGAGATATTGAATGCCTGACTTATATAAGGACAACGTTTGATTCTTGCACCCCAGGTCTCTTAAAACAAATCATCCTTTTTTTCTTTTTATTCCTTACTGTGCTTCAGGGTGCTTTGGTGTCCGGGAGTCTGGAAAGTTCGGGTGGTTGCAGGACCTTCACCCTCTGCTGTGATGGCCTGGACCTCCAGCCTGTACAGACTGGCAGGCTGCAGGCCTGACACCACCAGAACATTATCATCCTGAAAGAGAGGATGAAGGACAAACAGTGAGAGGAGAGGAGGATAAATCAGACTACAAAATATAAAATGCTCAAGGTGTGTGAAATTGTAGGGAAGCTGCAGACTAAAGGTCTTGAAAGTGTTTGTCAGCCCAGTGGACCCTGAGATTTGTCTGCACAGAAAACACATATCTAACTCAGATATGCATTAAAACTCACAGAAATGTTTCACAGAGGATAGCTTCAACCAGAAAGACAATAAAAGAGAAAATGGCATAATTTACTCTACTGCTGCTAGTCCTTAACATATTTCAAATAAAATTGAAATAAATTGCTTAAGGAAATTTGACACATAAGCCTTTGAAAAAGCCATACACCAAATGAAAAACTAGACGGAAAATTTAAAAAGACTGCATTTTGCACCATTTTTAGCTTCAATATAGCAGTTTTATTTTTTTCAAATTTTTTCACATTTTCAGTTTAGGCTTTTTCATTTGAACAATGTCTTCTTTTTTTAACATAACATTTTAGCCTGATTGTCTAAAGTAACTTAAATAACCAATAATATTTTCTAACATATTTTCCATTTTCCATGTTCTTGATGTTCATGTTCAAACAGTGTCTGCTATTCAGGTTTATGAGATTTAAAACATAAATATAGCAGCAAACATCTATTAGCTATGTTTAAATATAGTGGAGTCATGGTGTCCTGAGCGAAGAATGACCCCACGCTGCCTCTGGCCTAATTGCTGCCTGTGTGTGTGCAGCTTAGAAGAGTGTTTGTGAATGTTTCTGTCCACTTTAAATTAAGTCACAATGTTAAGATGGCAAGGTAAAATTTCCGTTTTTGTCTATGGAGACAAAAGCTAGCGATAGCAATATTACGGCTGTTTACACAGTCTGTAGGGATCCTTTTCATAATGTTTTCAGATACTCTGTCAGAGTTTGTCAGTGGCAAAAACAAGCACTTCTAGTGGACGTATTTTAACAGATGCGTTTGTTGATTAACTTTAACTTACATTGTGGTCATTGCAGCACTTTTCACAAATATTTTTCACATCTAACTTTTTTTGGTGAGTTATTTTATTTCTGTCCTATTGTTTTGG